GCTCACCCTGCGTGAGAAACAGCAGCTAATACTTTGAGTGCTAATTGTGTGCCAGGCACTGGTCCCAATGACGACGTCTGTGCCCTTAGTCCTCACAGCAGCGCTATGGAGCAGATACTTCTGTTATCCCCATTTCACAGAGAAGGGAACTGAGGCCGCCTTGCCGAAGGCCCAGCTCTTCGGTGAGTGAAAGGAGATTTGTGTCCATAGGCCTGAGCCTAGAGTCCATGCATGTGACCATTGGTCTGTTCTGCACCCGAGGCTGACTGTGTAGGGCAAACACCCCTGTTCTCATCTCGCTTAGTCTGATATAGGGGCGTGTCCCATATGTGCCTGAACAGAATTCACCCCCGGTGTAGGGCAGTCCCCCGTTTTCCTGGCAGGATAATTAAGAGTACCTTTTTTTCCTTTTTAATCCTCACCTGAGGATATTTTTGTTTCCATTGCTTTTCAGAGAAAGTGGAAAGGAGACAGAATCATCGATGTGAGAGACACATCTATTGGTTGCCTCCTGCACGTGTTGCAAGCAGAGCCAGGGATCGAGCCTGCAACCAATGTGCCCTTGGCAGGAATCGAACCCAGGACCCTTCAGTCCGAGGGCTGACACTCTAACCACTGAGCTACTGGCCAGGGCAAGAGCACCTTTTGACTAACTTGCATACATAAACTTTTAGTGCCATAGGTGAAAATGTCTATAATGTTTACTTACTATGTGTTTTTAAAATTAGATGCATGGCGACTTTAGAAAGTTGATTTTCCACTCTCACCTGTTGGAAATGATTTTGTTCTTGTTTCTTTCCATGCAGCTTTAACACTGGTGTCCTTGTCTTAACCTTGCGTGACAGATGGCACAATTTTGCAAAACAAATTGTCTTCACCTCAAGTTGTTTGAATACAGGAATTTTTTTCCATGTGTAATGCTGTCACCGGACACATTTTTCTCAGCTTCAAGTGCCATTAGCATAACATCAGGACACATTTTTTTTCCAGTTGTCTCAAATGTGGGGTATTCATGATGTCCACCTTGTTAAGATTTATTTCACTGCTGTCTGACTTAGAAGTCTGTTTATAACAAACACACCCATATTTGTAATTGTGAGATAATAACCCCCAAAGAAAAAGTACTCAACTTAAGCCTCAGGTTCCGCCTCTATAAAGTGAAATGTATTGAAGCTTCTTTATTTTTTTACCTAACATACAGGTATATTGCTTCCTAGTTCCCAGGTTCTGCTCTAACATGATTACAAGCACTAATTCATCTATTCCTCAAAAGAAATCTATAACGTGGATACTGCTTTTTGCATTTTAGAGAAGAGAATCCTGAGGCATAGAGAGGTTAAGGAAACTCTCCAGGTGGGCAAGGCAGGAGCAAACCCAGACCCCTGGCTCCAGGACCAGCCCTCTTAACCACCACCCTGTTTCCTGTCCTCGGCTCCCTTGCTGCTCACTGTTGAGAAAAGTCAGGACAGTGTCATGTGCAATGTGTGTAAATGGTGCCAGGCACATGTGGACACTCAGGAAATTTGAGGCATGTGAGACATGGGCCTCTTTTTAAGTTCAAGAATCAGCACCCTTCTTTATCGGGCTGGTCCTGCTTCAATGCCTGGCCATCAGGAACCCACTGCACCCCCAGGTGTGGATTCCCGGTGGGTGTCTCCCCCCCGCCCCAGGACATTCATTGGCTGTAGAATAGTGAGTGGAGGAAAAATACCTCTTTCAGCACAAACAAGAAATGCTGCTTAAGTCCTGTCTAGTGATGTGTTCTTTGTGATTTATGTTCTTTGTTATTTCTAAATAAAAAAACACAAAAATCTTGGGATGGTACAATTTTTCCCCTGAATAAATGCATTTCTATTTATTTTAAGTTTATATCTTATATCAGTGATTTGATCAGCTGTGGTATTCTGAGTGAATTCCATATGGTATTGAATTCCAAAAGCTCTTCAATGTTGTTAGTGTTTCGCTTCATACGAATTAAAAGTTATTAAGTAATGTTAATTTTTTTAAATGCTTTAAAAAGGAGATTCCTTATAGCTTCTCTGAGGCAAAACTAATTCTGTATCACTTCTTCCATTGGTAGATGGTCTAGGAAGTGATGAAGGGAAAACACATTTAGGAGCAAGTCTGCAGGAGACCTCATATATTTTTTATTTTGGTCTGTGTTTCATACAATGTTGTTTGCATTGGAGAGAATGGACATGGACAGAAGGAAAATATGCTGAAACTACTGCACCCTCTTTTTTCTCATAAAATTTGACAGCTGAGTTCTGAATAGTGGGGAAAACTACTGTTTGAGTGTCCAAAGGCCTAGATTAGAGTCTTGGCTCTACAAACTGGCAGCAGAGGACATGCTGATGCTCACTGATTCATTTGTTATAATGTGAAAAGAGTTATAATGTGCCTGGGGGAGGGGGCGGGCAATGCTAGAATTTGCTTCTCAAACATGTAGTATAAAATTTCCATTCTAATTACAATTATAATTTTAAGAGAAAAACACCAATGTAAGAAAATGCTAAAAGCCCCGGCCATCGTGGCTTACTGGTTAAGCATCATCCCATGTACCCAACAGGTAGCCTTTTAGATTCCCGGTCAGGGCACATGCCTGGGTTGTGAGCTCGATCCCCAGCAGGGGGCGAGCAGGAGGCAGCCGATCAATGACTCATTATTGATGTTTCTCTCTCCCTCTCCCTTCCTCTCTCTCTAAAATCAATAAAAAACTTATTTTTTTTTTAAAGAAAATACTGAAATACTGAAAGACCTGTAACATGTGGGATGTTCCAGCATCTGACAGCGCCGATGGTGCCTCAGTTTATTCATAGCCTTCATGCTCTGTAAGACAAGGGTATCCCCAGAGACTGAACTCCTGTCCAGAGGTGGTGACAAGTGGAAATGTGTGTGTGTGTGTGTGTGCATGGTAAAAGAGAACTCTGATCGTGGGTAGACAGAAGTTATATAACATGTATTTTTATTGTTTATGTTTGTTGGTTTTTTGTAAGAATTCAGCCTCTAGAACCAACCAGACAGATATATCTGAGTTCCAGTCTAAGTTCTGCTATTTATCAGCTACAGATGCTTAAATTGTATTAGATTCAGTTCTCTCACCTACTTATTTGGGAAACTTTTTTTTTTTAATTTTCTGTGAATTATAAGTGAGCTAAATGCAAGGAAAGTGCTTAGCAGAGTGACTATCATAGAGAGCTTAGAACCGTGCATCTATAAATACTCACATATACAGAGACCTTGAAATTACATTCTTCTCTAGAGAGACTTCAGGCTGTTATTTTTTTTATTTTTTATTTTTAATACATCTTTATTGATTTCAAAGAGAGGGAGAGGGAGAAACATCAATCATGAGAGAGTCCTTGATCAGCTGCCTCCTGCACACCCTCGACTGGGGATGGAGCCCACAACCCGGGCATGTGCCCTGACTGGGAATCAAACCCCGATCTCCTGGATCCTAGGTTAATGCTCAACCACTGACCCATGCCTGGCCTGGCCAGGCAGTTATTTTTTTATAACATGCAGATGAAGAAAAATTAAAAGAAGCAGCATATTTTCTTTTGAGCAGTTAGATCATCCTTGCCCCCGTTGAAGAATGGGCTTCATTATTTGGGGGCCATTCCTATCACAGATGGCTGAGGCTCACCTCTGGACAATGATTAATGTGGAAAGGTCAAAATAATAATTGGAACAAAAATGAATAGAAATCACAGTTCAAACCCAGATGCAGCAGTGGCTGCTACCAACAGGCTGCCTTTATCTGTGGTCCACTGTCTCTCATAATTAAGTTTCTTGAAGAAAATAAAGTAACCTTTTTATTTTAATCTGATTGGCAGAATAGACATTTTGCCATGAACAATTAAGCTGATGACCTTCATTCATAAATTAATTTTGTGAAGAAACTATTTTCACAGTCATTTTTAGAAAGACTTTCTGGTCTACCATTTAGAACAGGCCACTCTGTCAGCTAAAGATATCTTACAAGTGACCTCCTCTGGATGTGTGATTATTTAGGATTCAATTTGGGGAATGGACATTTGTAAGATTGATTTCCTTGGGCTCCTGGCCCCAAACTGCATTTCAAAGTGGGGTTCATCGTGTTGTAAAGGCAAAACTTGAAGCCAGAATCAAAACCAAGCACTTTTTTGGTTAATCAACAGTGAACCCAGTTTTGTAGTTTAAAGCAAAATGTTATGGTAAAGATACAGTCTTCTGTGGATCAATTCTGTGGGAGAACCCAAAAGTCACCTACTTGAGAAGGAAGTATTTGAGTAAACACTACTGATACTGTGTAACAGAGAGATTGATAGAATTTTTGTTTCCCAAGACCTTTGTCCTAGGCAACAGTGAAATGTGATTGTCAAGGGTAGGAAGTGTTGATGTATTTTTTTATTTTTTATTTGTTTAAACATAACCTTCATTATAAAGATACCTTATTGGTAAATGATCAGATAATCCCGGTATTGTTTCCCTTGCTTATTGGCGGTTAATTAGCACAAATAACTGTTCATACTTATACATTTATTTTTAGTAACTTAATTTCTATCAACTGTACTCTCCAGATATGCTTATTGAGAAAAAAATAACAATGCAAAAAAAGTTCATAAAAAAGAGAGATTAGACGAAAGTCATAAATCCATTTTCTTATACGAGAGTAGAGTCTAGTAAAGCTAACCAGAAATTAGGTTATTAAATTAAAACGGTTCACCATTACCTTCCAAAGAGCTTTATTTACTCCACTCACTTTCCCAGGCACCCCAGTGGCACATTAATATTATCTCTGCAGATTGGGTTATAGTAGTCCTCATTTTGTTCAATGGAGAAATAACCACTTATGATCTTTAAGAAACATGAGATATCAATTGTAAGTAGCACTGAATTTTCCTAGATGGAAATATATTAATTTTTACTTGTGAAATTCTGACTTTGTCGATATTAAACATTGTTTTAAACAGAACCATCTTCAGGAAATAAATTTACTTGTATTTTGTACTTAACAGGGTCCGGGTTGAACGATGGGCAGTGGCATGAGGTTCGTTTCCTGGCCAAGGAAAATTTTGCTATTCTCACCATCGATGGAGATGAGGCATCAGCAGTTCGAACTAATAGCCCTCTTCAAGTTAAAACTGGCGAGAAGTACTACTTCGGAGGTAAGACTACCATTTTTTTATGTGAACTAATACATTGCTAAAAATAGAGTTTCAGTGACGTTTGGTTATGAAGTATTTATATTTGATTCAGTGGACGCAGTAGATCTCAGGCGAAAAAACAGCCATATCCCATTGAGTTAAAGAGAGCGGCAAGTTTGTTTCTTTGTTAAAGGTGTTAAAATGATATCACCATGTTCTTCTAGTCCAGTTCAAATATTTGAAGTATAAAACGTGAGATTCTGAATCTCATACTACGAACCTCAAGAGTCCCTGGATTTTGTATTAGTCACCTATTGCTGTGTAACAAATTACCCCCCAAACTTAGTAGCTTTAGACAGCAAGCATTATCTCACAGTTACTCTAGATGAGAAATTCAGGACGGCATAGCTGGGTTTTGCTGACTCAGGAGGGTCTCTCATGATGTCACACACAAGCTGTTGGGTGTGGTTACACCATCTGAAGCCTGGACTGGTCTGGAGGGTCTGCTTCCAAGCGCCTGATTGACAGTTGGTGCTGGCTATTGTCTGGAGGGGGTGCTTCATTTTCTTTCACGTGGGGCTGGGGAGGGAGGAGAAAGGGAGAGAAGGGAAGGAGAGGGGAAAGGAAAGCCATTAGCAAGAGAGAGTTTCCAAGATGTAAGCTGAAGTTTTCTTAGAATTCAGTCTTGTAGCCCGGCCGGCATGGCTCAGTGGTTGAGCATTGACCTAGGATCCTGGAGATCGCTGTTCAATCCCCAGTCAGGGCACATGCCCAGGTTGTGGGCTCGATCCCCAGTCAGAGATGTGTAGGAGGCAGCCAATTAATGACTCTCTCATAGTTGATGTTTCTATCTCTCCCTCTCCCTCCCTTCCTCTCTCTGGGGAAAAAAAAACAAAAAAACAATCATGTAAATGATATCCCACCAGTTCAGTTACATACAATTTGTGAGAAGGGATTCGCTAAATCCAGCTCACACTTAAAGGAAGGGATTACCAAGGAGACAGGTTATTGGGACCATCTCAGAGACTGCCTACACGTATTTTGGTATTTTGGTTCTTAAGTAATGAAAAGATGAATGAAAAGGAAGATTCTATTAATGATAAATTTTACTATATGTAAAAGAGTGTTGTAGCATAAACCTAGCATGTTTTCTAGACTGAGGAATACATACTGGCAGAAGATATATTTTTTATCATGAATGAAATATGGAGATACCTTTTGTTAAAGTGCTAGGTCTGTTGTCTTGATCAATATATCTTTCATTAGGTTATTGCTTTCTCATCTCAAACCATGCAGTGTGAAAACTAAACAAATACAGTGCATCCTTAGAGAAGGCTTTGGTTTAAATTTTAAAAAATATATATGCACATATATTTGCCTCTAAAATATATAGCTGTTGATATTCACATATTCTGCTTGTATAAAATAAGCCTATATGTCATTATATTTATACTTTTTTTTTTAATTGTTAGAATAAGCCTACTTGAGAGCAGTCATCTTACAGTATGTCTTATTTTCTACTGTATTCCCCAAGGTCCTAGAAAAAAATCCCTAGAATATAGTAGATGGTGAATAAATATTTATGAATGAATTAGTAAATTCTGAAAAACAGGGAAGACAAGCATGTTATCATTCCCTGTTGTCTTAAAGAAGAAATAGAAGCTGCAGGAGTTTTACTGACGTGTCCCTGAGTTTGTAGCCAGTTCCTGAACTCAGGACCCCTGACTCCTGTGCCAGGGCGTCTCTCCCTCTGCATCATGATGTGATGATGAGTGACAACTCGGAGACAAAAGTCCTGACCTGGACCTCTGCTTCTGTAATCGCTCATGGTATTTATTGCAAGTCAAAACTACTGAAGTTTAAAAGGGCTCTTGATAAATATTTGATGAGTGGATGAAAGTCAGACAAGATGTCTTATTGATGTGAGAAAAAGCAGCCCAATAGCCCAACTGGTTTTCCTCCAAAGATATATTTAATATGATGGGCTTTCGGCCAGCAGTTGTTATTGTTGTCATAGAAAATGGACTGCAACAGTCAGTTAGAAAGCCATTGATAATTCCTACCCATCTGAATGACAGTGGGGTATCCTTGGCCATGGATGAGCTTGCTGGATCTCTAAGGCCTGTTTTGATCTATTTCCATTTGGATGGGTAAGCAAATAGCTATAACCACAAATTTATGGCACGGAGGTGATAGGAGATGAGGGCTTTATAGATTGCTATTTACTTTACCGACTTCGGTTTTCAGACCCAGCAGTCTAGCACGTATGTCCTCTCTCTTGGGTTGCTGATCCGCCGCCGAGAAAAGCCGCCACAGATGGTCTGGATGCTTCCTTGGTTTGCCTTCATTAGCCGAGTCCTCAGAGTGTATAAACGTCACCAGTGCAACTCCTTACAGCTCAGGTTCCCAGCCCCCCCCCAGGACTTTAAAATGTAGGCTGCTGAAACATTGAAGAATTCTACACTGCAGGTGGTTCTGCCACACATGATCTGAGGAACAGAATTATAGATCGACCTCAGCCAGTTCGCATGCACATTGTTTTAGATTCTTTTGGAAAGAACACCAGCCACTGAAAAGTGAGACAAGTAAGAAATAGCTACTTTCAAATAGCCTTGCCGTCTTGGAGCAGTGAGAGAAAGTCAGACGCCAAGGTCTGGTGCACCTGTAGATTTTATTAAATGAGCGATTACAGCAGGTTGGCAGGACACTGTTGATGCAAATGCTTCTGTAAGCTCAGGGAAGTCCGAGCTCCCTGACTGGCTCTACCTTGAATCACATGCTCTCTTCGGGCAGCCATAGCGTTGCTCTAGAAGCCAGGATTCAGCTACACTCAGTTGGTGCCCGGCATGGGATCACTAAGTGACCCAGACTCTAGAACCTTCTCCAAGGCTCAGGTCACAGGTCCCACTGGGGTCTCACACCACCTTACAAGGCTGCGGGTGTCTTGAAAAGATGTTTTACCAAACTACAGATACTTAAGATCTTTAATTTCACCACTGAGATCTTTCCTAATATTTATTATCTAACAATTTTGCTGATGAACAAACTACTAATTTCACCAAAGAAAACCAAATCTGGCATTCGCTGAGTTGATTAGAGGCAGAGAGAGCGGAAAGCCTGGAGTAGCCGCCGTGGGGTCGGATAGGCCGCTGTTGCCTCTGGCACGTGGCTTCCGATTACAGCGCAGGCTTCCTCTGGGCTGGGACTTGAAACACACACAACCACACAAGTTCTTACTGTCTGTGCCGGAAACCTCAAAGTAAGTTGCGGATGTTCCAAGGAGAGCATCTTAAGAAATATTAGTATTGTGGGAAGAAATATTGACTTTGTCTAAAAAACAAATAAGCTCTGGATTGTGCACACTTGATTTTGGATCATGGCCCCATTTAAGTCAACCGATCACTTTAATAATTTGTCTGACTTTGTTCATCTATTAAAAGGCAGTAGAACCTGCTTTGTGACTTTGCACAGCACGACCTGTTAAACCCGGGCCCGGCCCCAGGGATGCTAAACGCTGACCGTCTTTCCAGTTCATCTTGCGTCTTTAACTCACCCAGAGTCAGCCCCTCCCAGGGCAGATCCTAGATTTCAAACCCAGTGCTCACCCAGAGCCTCTCACCAACCTCTCCACCACTTGAAGCATTTGGGCTGTTTGGCACCCGTGTGGAGTTTTGTCCCCATGCCTGCTCCCCTCTAATCCCAGGAAAGGCCTCGGTTCTCCTCTGTCACGCTAACTCGTGATCAGGTATTTAAGCAGGAATAATTTTTCTGCCTTGTTCTTTTCTGGGAATAAACAGAAGAAGAGAGATTATTAATTTAGGATGTTTCTTCAGCAAAGGACCTTTGAGCTCTTTAACCTTTCCTCACCGCCCTACTGCAATTCCTTTTGTTAACACTTTATTAACTTTAATAGTCAAAAAGTGATAAAATAATTAATTGTATGTATTAACTGCTTACCTGGTATTAAGCTCTCTGATCCTGCCAGGGGCCATTGTCTTGGGAGAGTAGAAAGATTTTTAAATTTCTATATTGTTTTAAGTTTGGCATTTTTATTAACCCTGTTGTTTTTATTTAAAAAGAGAACAGGAGATGCCCGGCCAGCGTGGCTCAGTGGTTGAGCATCCACCTATGCACCAGGAGGTCATGGTTCAATTCCCTGTCAGGGCACATGCCCAGGTTTAGGGCTCGATCCCCAGCAGGGGAAGTGCAGGAGGCAGCCGATCAATGACTCTCTCATTACTGATGTTTCTGTCTCTCCTTCCCTCTCCCTTCCTCTCTCTGAAATCAATAAAAACACATATTCTTGTTGGGAAGGGAGTTGTAAGGAACACAGTGGGAGGTAGCGGCTCTCAAGAAAGTGCCAATCCAGGTGGAGGTGGCAGGAGAAAGGAGGGCATTTGGAGCCGGCCTCCTGAGTGTGATAGGAATGGGGTTAATGGTTTAAAAAACAGCCCATCCCTTTCCGGTTACACATCTAAGCTCACCAGTGTAGAGCCTTTTAGTCTCACCGAATGCAGTTAATAGTTACATGTACGAAAGGCCAGAGGGATTTTTCCCCCACCTAGAGTGTCAGTTTCTGCGACACGCCTCTCCTTCCCAAAAAATATTGAGTAGGTGATACTGATAGTGCTGGCCTAGAACAGCTGAGCCTGTCGAAATCGGGGCTAAGCTTCCATTTTTGTATCTGGCAGGTGTAACTTCTTAGGGTCTTGAAGATAAGATCGTTGTTTATTGGATCAGATTTGTTCTCTGAGTGCAGAGTATGTATATGACTAAGGAGTAGCAGAGCCAGGGTTCAAGTCGGTTCATTTACTGTGTATTTACTGAAACCTGGTAATATTGTTCATGCTGGAATAGGAAACAAGTCAGAGAAAAGCTGGCTCTCAGAAGGTTTTGTTCCAGCAAAAACAAACGCATTCATATATTGAGTGTATTTTGTGCAGCATGCCTTTCTTTGAAATACTGATTTAGTGTTAATGGCAAGAGTCACTTTTTCTGACCAACTGACTAGCCATTTTTTA